AACCAACTTCGTCGTCATCATATAAGCGTTGTAACTCTCATATTTGGAAACCAATATTCTACAAGAAAATGAACAACACTTCCCCTATTTGTACTACATCCCATATGTTACCAAAAGTCACCAAACAGCCCAAACAACAACAATATAATTTACAATAAGTTCTCTAATTAGTTCAACAACCATTTTGAGCGGCAAGATCGATTTACGATTAACAAAATATGGTTTAAATCCAATTCCTTTTCCATGAATCTGCCTACAACATATATAACATCATACTTATGCTTAACATATTATTTTCAACACAAATATCATAAGCATAATCTTCAAATATAGTCCACACGCCTAGCACCTTAACCTTTACTGTCAACATCTTATTTTTCATGTTATCTTCTTCAATACACTGATTTAGCACATAGATAAGCTTAACAACAGTAGCCACAACATAATAAAAATATTTATAACAATTTCCAGCCACAACAAACAATATATATAGCCTCAACAAAGGCATAAAAAAGATAATGATTCCTTATGCCATGTCAATTACTATCTTGTAGATTTTCACTGAAACAACTCAAGCAACATATGATTGACCTCACACAACCACAAACATAATTTACATACCTTAGTAATTAGATACAACTTGAAATCCCCAGCTGGTGTAGCTCACAACAACCCTCAATCACACCACAACACTATAGGAGTTGTATTCTCTTCTTCGATCAAATTTTGTATTCAAGTTGGTGTGTAAATACTTGTATTTTGCCTTGAAACCCTAATATATATGAAGGAGGGACTGATTATTATCTTAATCATAAAGAAAAACACAAAATCTGAAGTTACTTACCTTTGAAGAACCCTCCAAAACATCCACAAGATGAAGAACTACGATCTAGTAAGCACCACGGGATTTCTAGCGTTGGATTCATGTTTTTATCTTAGTTTTTCACCCTATAATCATGGAGGAACCCTTGGAGAGTATTTAGGAGGGTTTAGGAACTGTTTTGGACAAGAAAAATGAGTTAAAACGATATATAATTGACTTAAATACAAGCTGAAATTTTACACCGACTTTGTGGGTCCCATGAGAGTTGCTTGCGCAGTCTTGCAAAAATACGAATATCTCTCTAGTCTGATGTCGTATGAACGAACGATTTAATGCATTAGAAACTACACTCGTAGATCTTCAATTTGATATGTAGATCGTCCCTTGATTCTAAGTATATTTAGGGCGTGTGCTACATTTGACCTATATTTCAGCACATTATGAATGTAACTTGTTATGACCTTTGCCAACTTTTGTTCCACAACTCGCTTGACTTAAAAAAATAACACACGACTATTATACGACTAAAATAACTCATAAATTAACCTTCTTATCATGTTATTCACCCTAGTTTTACCCTAAAAGTACGTGTTATAACATTCCAAACTTGTCGACTTTCGATAAAACTTATTTTCTTCAATTCGTTTAGCGTCTATGCTTTCCAACCCTTTTGGTACTTGTTATTCATGATCTTAAAGAATTGTAACCTCCAAGATAACATGATGAACTTACGTTATGTACTTTCAATGACAATCTCATTTTTTAGCTTACATCAATTGACTTATGATGTGCTCTCACGTACGAAAACATGGGATGCAACACCAAGTGTGAATGGAATGGTTCAGTAATCATTCCAACCAATCTAAAGCTTTCCCCCATATAGAGAAGGGAAAAAGCCTTGGCCTCAATGCATCCTCGAAGATATTTGTTTGTTTGCTCCCCCAACAAGTATCCACAAACACCTTCAAGTGTTTATACATATTTTGAGTTGGAGCACCAATGAAGAAACCCCGTTGTTCAAGCAAAGTGAGCATCACATTGGTGATTTAGAAGTTGACAGCTCTAATATGGAGAGGGACTATTATACTAGCATATCTTTCATTGGGTAACACCCAGTGTGGATCCGCTCGTGGTGGAGGTGGGGGTGGAGTGGGTACATTGTAATGAGGCACTCGGCCTATTATATTGGCTTGAGGTTCAAGAGGAACCTCCTCAACTTGCTCATCCTTGACGTCCACATCCCCAAAGGCATATTTCCGAGTTCATTGTTTGTCGCCATGGTTGTACCTAAAACTGTTTCACACAAGTTAGTAACATGGAAGGAAAAGAAGATATTCCAAAAACAAACCTAAATATATAGCTAACATATATAAAAGTTTTGGTGTCGGTCGTATGAAATATAAATTACCCAAGTATAAGTCGGGGTCGAATCCACAGAGAGTTATAAGGGGTGTTAGGAGTATATATTTGAATAAAGTGAATGGATTACCTAAAATTGCACTTCCACAACAAGTTTTGGTTTTTACTTCTACTATTACTCTAATGATTGCAAGCTAAGGAAATTAAACTAGAGATGAATGTTTTTGGTATTTTTTCATATTGCTTAAAAGCCTAGGGATGTGACCATAACCCATGTATTCTTCTAATGGGATAAAGACGTTAATGCTTGTTTCGTTGATTGGGGTGTATTATAGCTCTCAACTCTACATTACCCACTCAATATCTCTCGGTCAGAGAATTATTTTGTCCAATTTGGCTTTCTCAAGTCCAAATGGGTATCAAACAAAATAGTTGATATGAGCTCACGTTGGGTTCTTACTATCTCTAGTTCGAACCCTTTAATTAGGCTAATCAATCTCTCAATTAGCCCAATTCCTTGTTAGCCAAGTTATCCTAGACTAGGTCTCTCTTTCTCAAGTAGAAACTAAGTCAAAAAGGTATGAATCATTATTTACAACTATTAATTCTAAAATTAGAACATTAACTAAGCTAAATAATCAACACCTAATCATAAACAAATATTAAATTAAATACCCATAAAGTTTACATACTAGGGTTGAGTCACAACCCTAGTAAGAATCTAGCTACTCATAATGGGAATTGAAGAAAATAAAGAAGAAAAGCTAATTAAACCCATAATCAAAGATTAAAATGGTAAAAGATAATGTAAAAATACTAAAATGGTTACAAACTTCCTAAAGTAGTAAAAGGTAATGGCTATAACAACTTTTTTTTTTCAAAACTTGACCTAAAATTGTGAAACTCGTCTATTTATAGTGGGCCAAAAATTGCTGACAAAAATGCCCCTCAGGAGGTTTTGCGACCACACAATTCCTTGTGCGATCCGCAGATTTCTTCAGTTGTCAGGAGATTGGATTATAGCCGCACATTTCTGGATTATGGCTGCGAAGCAACTTCTTTGGCCGCACAATTCTTGTGTGGTCCACACTTCCGCAAAGCACCAGGACATGGTCTTCTACATACTCTCTGAACTCTAAATTACTTGTCAGTGCAGACCCTGTTTTGCGGCCGTACAATTCATGTGTGCTCCGCATATTTGTAAAAATCCTGTTGGGTTATTTACTTGGGGTAGATGAAATTCTATTGTCCGCACTTTCTTCTGCGGCCGTAGAAATCCTTCTGCGAACCGCACTTCTTTGTTTCTGCTTCCTTCATTGCCTTGTGTTTCGGAACAATTTTTTTGAGTCGGATTTCATCATGGGAGACCAAACTTCCAATATTCCTGTAATTTGTATAATTTTATTAGTTTCGGAAACATAAATCAATACTTTCAGACTAAAACAAAAGCAAAAAGGTGCTAATAAGTAGTCAAAATCTCCACTTATCAGTTTCCAGACCCAACAAAGACACCACCACCCACGTGGAGGCGTATCTAAGTGTTTACATTTACCCTTTCACGCTCGCCTCAGTGGATCCTATAATCCTCGGCTTCTGCAAAAGGTACGAGGTCTGCCTTGTGCAGATTCACCCGTCCTTTTGAAGGATCATAATCCTCCTCCGCCACTTTATAAACGACACCAAAGCACCTCGGTTCACCCTCAATCACCTGTTTTGTCTTTACAAGCCCCGAATCTTTCGAGGGAGGTTGATCAAGCTCGTTCGCCGAGCAAGTAAAGCTCCATTCTCCATTCTAAGAGATATAAAATACTATGTTTTTTCAATCGAAGGAGAAAAATGCTTTACATTAAAGTCGTTGAATTATAATTTACCTCGTCCTATCTCCTAAGTGTTAGTTCATGATAATTAGTTGCGACATCCAAAATTATAAAAACAATAATTTTGAACTCTAACAAAATAAAAATAACAAACAATTATAAGAAGCAATATTCTCACAATTTAAAGTTACGTGTAAAATAAAGCACGTTATTAATATTTGTAGAAATTAAATCTTATTTAAACTTAAAGTTCTAAATTTTGGGACTTCTTATATGGGTCAAATAAGAAAAGATTTATACATAAAGTTATACTTTATTTTAAAGTCCTCAATGTTTAGAAAAATAATTAAATATATATTTTTAAATATTAAAAAATTAAAAATAAATTATTTTATCTATGTGAACTCTATCTTTTAAAGGTAAAAAAAAAGCGAAAAAAATTTTCTAAGGGATTTTTGTGCTTTTAATATATAATATAATATAGATATAATAAATATATGTTCAAACTCTTTTCAACTGAAGTTACCTTATCGTTTATATGCAAACTAATTGTCTACATTTAAAGTAGTATTACATACTCCAAATAAAGAAATAATTTATACAAGGTAGTATATTAATCAATTTTAAAGTCCTAAATGCTTGGACTTAGTACATAGTTTAAAAGAGAAAAGATTTTAAAACAAAAATTTTAGTTGATTTTTAAGTTTTAAATAATAAGAAAAAAATTAAATTTACAGTTTTTTTTTCAAATGTAAAATCTATTTTAAAGGGCAAAAAAATAGAATTCATGCTTTTAATAGAGTATAGATAGAAAGATAAATAGATAGATAGATAGATAGATAGATATAGATTATAAGTTGGTATGGACGTTAAAATGAGGATAGACAAGACATTACTGGAATTTGAAGCTAAATAAGGAAAAAGGTCTCAACTGAAATATAAAATGAGAAACAAAATGAAATATCTAAATATATTATACTACAGCTGCTTATACGGAGAAGTATACATAAACAAAATATTAATAAATAAGTACATACATCGGAGGAATATATTGAAAGTAATTCACAATTATAATCCCAACTCCTCAACTCAAACAAAACAAAATGACTCGACTGATAAATAAACCCAGCCACATAATGATGGGGAGATGTTTTACACTTTACCACCCTCAGTCTAATCTCTAGAGCTTCACAATGGATGGGGAAATACATTATTATTCCACAAGAATACCATTTTTCAATGCTCAAAGCATCCTTGTAAGTCCATAAAACGTGAGTTGTATCTATAATAAAATGATTGTAATTGTTTATAGCTCCAGTGATCATCCCATTTTGCTCAAGGACTGAGTTTTTTGTGACGAAGTTCTTGAGATTCACCAGCGGAATGGACAAATTCACCAGTAGTACCATGTTCACTGCCTGTGAATTCTTGGCTCGACATTCCAGATTTCCTGAACTTTTTAACGTCATATGAACCTCCGTCGTATTCGGAACTTTCACCAGAACCAAACATTGCGCTATGGCTCTTTTTCATTCCCTCGTTCAAATCATCCAGAGAAACATCACCTTCCAAAGCACGTACAATCTACAACATAATTATTTTATTAGCCAATCTCTCTTTTAGCATTAGAAATTCGAACCCTATATATGTGTCTGTGAAGTGTGAAGCTTCCAGGGGAAGCCTTTTGGTAGAACTGAAACCCTATTATTTGCTGGTACTATTAGGCTACAACTCCAATTTTGTCAATAGAATTTAAATGCTAGCTAGACTATGGAGTAGTAATTAGGCACTATGTCCTTCGTCTTGATGTATTTTACTTTGGAATGTTAATATACGTGTCAGGGTCTATGCATAATGAGGCTTTATTGAACAAAAACAAAAAGCTAATTAACCTGACTCATTTTTGGACGTCTTCTTGCAGAATGTCTGATGGATGCAGCAGCACAAGCCACCATACATAGCATCTCTTGGGCATCAAAATTTCCCTCCAAACGTGGATCTATCAATTCATCATAGTTTCCGCCCTCTGTTGCACGAACCAGAATTGGCCTAGCCTGGATATATATGTATATATATATATATATATTAAAATTAATTTGATCAAATTAAGTGCATACGTGTTTGCATTCATAGATCATGTCTTGTAAGCCAAAAAAATTGTTTCAATTATATCATTAATGAAAACATACCCACTCAACTAAGGTGTCATCATCACTGTTAATGTCGATAGGACGACGCCCAGTTATAAGTTCCAAAAGCATAACACCATAAGAATAAACGTCTGACTTTTCAGTTAGCTTGCCACTTGAAGCGTATTCTGGTGCCAAGTACCTGTTTGTTCAAATTTCATAAATACAGACAGGGTAATGTTTTTATTCCAACCTTTTGTAGTATGGTGGATATTTGACCAATTATATATAGTAGAACTGAAAAACGGATTACTTACCCAAAGGTACCCATGATACGTGTTGACACATGTGTATTAGTGTCTGAGGAAAGCTTAGCTAGTCCAAAATCAGCCACCTGAAAACGACATTGGAACAGTTTAAACATTTGTTTGAATTAAAGTGAATTAGAAATTTGCCTAAAAAGTGGTTAGTCTAAAGCATAAGCAAATACCTTAGCTTCACAGTTATGGTCCAGTAGGATATTTGCAGCTTTAATGTCTCTGTGAATGATGCGAGGGTGGCCTGTACATAATTTATATGACAAAGCTAAGTAGTTTGTGATGGAAAGCGAATGTACCTCAAACTATATACAAAATTCAACTTACAATCTTCATGAAGGTAGGCAAAACCTTTGGCAGATCCAAGTGCAATTTTAAGCCTCGTAGGGAAGTCCATAACTGGGCGACCAGGTCCTATATATAGGATGCAAAGAAAAAATGTCAAATAAAGACTTTCATGGGTAATTCTTTAAGTTCGTTACGTTATATACAAATTAAAGTATATATACGTACCATGAAGGTGATATTCAAGAGTGCCATTAGGAACAAACTCATACACCAACAACCTTTGAGATCCAGCAATGCAATATCCAACTAAAGATACAAGATGGCGATGATGGACACGACTAATGATCTCGACCTCAGCTTGAAATTCTCGTTCCCCTTGCCCACTATTTGCTTTCAGACTTTTCACTGCTATCTCCTTACCATTAGGCAACACCCCTTTATGTACAAATCCAAAACCACCTTGTCCCAAAAGATTGGCCTTAGAAAATCCTCCAGTTGCTGCTGACAAATCGTCATACGTGAAACTGCTTTGGTTAAAACCAAGAGCCATTGATGGATGTGGAGGTGGCAATGGAGGTTGATGTGGACCAGAGAAAGCAGCAGAACTCATTTCACTGCTGCTCATCATTGGAGGTGGTGGTGGAGGTGCTATTGGCCAACTGAGTTCTGAACTTACATTAGTACTGACAGGTTGAGGAGTAGGCATCTTTACCATATGTTCAGTAGATTGAACTTTGTTGTTGTGCCAATTCCCATATTGTCCACTATTATAGTAGTCAGTACCTGGATATTGCATGAAATTATTGTCAAATACCAAGACATGATAACAAGGAAGTAAGTTCCACTTCTGCTTATTATGTTTTTCATTTTTTAGGCATTATAGCCTGTTATTTCAACATCTAATGATGATAACAAATTTAAATCAATGAGCTCAAATTTCAAGTTTATATATGATGATTTCACGGTGAAAAAGAAAGTATAAATATGAAATAAAAGCAATTCACATACTCTTGCCTCCATGAGAATTGTCCCTGTAGTAGCCCATTTGGTCACGTGGCCTTCTCCTTTTGCGTTTGCAACAAGATATAAGGAAGACTAGCATGACAAGAAGTAATAGTCCTGCTCCTGCAGCAACTCCTACAATGATGGCTGTCCCGTTATCGTTAGATTTGCCATTATGATCTACGTCCGACTTGCTCGGTGGCGACTTATGCTTCGGAGGGGAAAGAGCTCCAGAGTTGGGAGAAAAGGGAGATGGTGGTGGTGGTGGTGGAGGAGGTGGTGGGGGTGGAGGAGGCGGCGAACCACCATTTGAATTTGAGGATTTTGATGGAGGTGAAGATTTATTGTTATTATTATTGTTAGTGTTGCTATGATCATTATTGTTATTGTTGTTGCTATTGCCGTTGTTATTGCTCCCATTATTGTTGTTGTTGTTCTTGTTATCATTGTTGTTGTCGTTGTTGCTATCACCATTGTTGTTGTTGTTGTTACCGTTGTTATTACCATTGTTGTTGTTGTTGCCGTTGTTGTTTCCATTGTTGTTGTTATTATTACTATTATTGTCATTGTTGTTGTGATTGCTGCTGTTGTTCCCATTGTTGTTGCCGTTGTTATTGTTGTTGTTCCCGTTGCTATTGTCAATGTTGTTGTTATTATTGCCGTTGTTATTATCCCCGGAAGAAGATGAGTTATTACTATCCCCAGATGGCGGAGAAGGTGATGAATTACTTTGAGAAGGGGGAGATTGGGAATTTGAATCATTCGATGAAGATGAATTATCTTGGGATGGCGGAGAATTTGATGATGAGTCAGACGATGGGGAATTTGAAGAGGATGAAGGTGAAGGGGGTGAACCAGATGAGGATGATGGCGGTGAATTTGATGAAGAATCCGAAGAGGATGAATCTGAAGGTGGCGAATTGGATGATTGATCATCCTTAGATGATGAAGACATTGTTATAAAGTCTTAATCACAATCTATGCCAAAACACGTCGTTTAAACCCTGCCGTTCTCCCAAAACAATGAGCCCTGTTCATTAAAGATAAAAAGCAAGTAATTTTAACAAAAAAAAAAGTGCATTTATCATTTAAGAAATCACAAGAAACATGCAACTCATCATTCTCAATATGTAAACATGTGAATGAATGAAATATCAATCTTTTTTCTTTCTTAACAATGAATATGATTCGTTATGAACATATGTTATCGTAAAGAGTATGAAAGATAAAGAAGAAAGAGAAAGATAAAGAAAATAGAGAGAAAGTAGAAAGAAAGAAGATGACACCTTTAGGAGAATGGCAGGGAGAGGATTCTCAAAGCAAAGAGAAAAGATGTTGCATGATAATAGTTTTTACAAGTAAACTAAGAGCCGTCTTTCTGTCCTCATACTCTTCCTAAAATCAAGGAACTAATCATGACTATATTTTTAGTTAATAATAGGAGTATTGCATTAAAATGGAAAATGTTGAACTTATAAACAATTACTAGTTAGGAGGTTGTAATTAATATCGTCTAGACATTTTTATTGGTCAACAAAAGAAGACGACTAGCATAATTCATCTTTAAAAAAAGATTTTATTTATTTGAGGCATGAGAATCAACGATGATACTACAAGTTCAAAGCCCAACATATGTCACTTTTTTACACGTCTAGCGGCCCCTTTTTTCACGTAAAATATTAACCAAACAAAAAACAACTTCTGAACTTGCTACAATTTAGTCTCAAAATCATGAGTACTAGAACTTTTTCAATTAAAAATCTACTTAATTTTAATTTTAATTTATTTCCTTTTTATTCTAAAGGTGATTGGTTTAGCCAATTACAGATAACGAGACACATGCAAACGTATATTGTGCTAAATTAGTATGTCGCGAGTTAGGACAATAATTAAATTATGTTTATTTGGAACAAAGGAAATAAAATATAAAATGAAATAAGGCAGCGTAATCAAGAGCTACTTTTATCTTGCGAAGTAAATAAAGAAAGAGAGGAGACAGAGTAGAGAGATATGCAACTCCATGCAAAAAATCAGCTTCTTGAAATCTAGCAGAAGGATGAATTGTTGCATTTTACTTTGCTTTGTGATACCATATGGTAATATGAGGCGGTAAATAATATCGTCTTCAAAACAAGGACTACTTATGATATCTAAGGTTATTTTAGTCCTTAAAGACTAGCCATTAAGTTGAAGAGCCTCTAAAGAATTTAAATACAGCTCTTTTGAGATATGATGGGATAATATATAATTACTTTCTGCAGATGTTCCACTTTACCGATTGCTTACTTTGCAAGGTTACACTACTAGAAATCCGGCAAAAAGCGACCACAAAAAGCGACCAAAGTTGGTCGCTTATAGACCTAAAAACGACCAAAAAGCGACCAAACATGTTTGGTCGCAATATTGCTGGTCCCTTTATTTTAGGGACTAAATATTCCGGGTAAAGACTATAGCGACCAACTTTGGTTGCTTTATTATTTTAATAATATAATTTTGGCGACCAAAGTTGGTCTCTAAATGTAAAATACGCTATTTATTTATTTATTATTAATCATAAAAAAGTGACCAACTTTGGTCTCTATTCCAAATATTATATTTTAAAATCTGGAAAATAGAGACCAAGATTGGTCACTTTTTTATTTATTTATTTATTTTATTTTTTACAAATAAGCGACCATAGTTGGTCGCTAACTTCAAGAAATAATTTTTTTAATTATAAGTGATCAACTTTGGTCGCTATATTTCCAGATTTTTTTTTTAAAATAGAATAGCGACCAAAGTTGGTCGCTTTTGAGAAATCTGGGTTAAATAGCGACCAAGGTTGGTCGCTATTGCCCAGAAAATTATTTTTTTTAAGGGAAAAGCGACCAATTAGCGACCAAAGTTGGTCGCTTTTCTTGGTATATTTTTGCCAGAAAATGCCTGTTTTGGCAGCTACACCACCTGTCAGCTTACCAAAAATTCTAAACATGCATTTTATGCCAACAACAACAACAACAACAACAACAATAAACAACAACAACAACAACAACAATAAAAAGCAACAAAGTATAAAGTTCAATAGAACTAACACATTAAGCTAACAAAACTAAGTTAACGCTTATTACAAGCCCATTCGAAAACTGGTTCTATTGTCTAGTTCAAAGTATATAAAGTACTCAAGGAGTGTTCTTTCAGCATCCTCATCCAAAAGTTGGATTACCTCGCCCGACTCATTAGGTGGCTGACTGCGTATGAATTCCCCCACATCAGCTGTGAAGCGAACCTATAAGAAAAATTATATTGAATTAGTATTTCAAAATTTATATAAAAGTAAATCAAAATACTTAATGAAAAGTAAAAAACTTACATGTATAGTCGAGGCTCGACCCTCGACCCACCTTTCTAGATCAGTCTCTTTCTTCTTCTTTACAATACGAGTCTCATTGAATAACTCATCTTACTTCATTGGCATCATAAAGTTGTCTGGTGGCTTTGGTGATTATCCTCGTGGTACTATTACTCGGGATGAACTTAGATACAGAGAGTAACTTGGATACAGTACCCGACAGGGTGTGTCTTTGATCAATTGTTGTTCTCATTAGCGACAATGATGATGAGAAGGCAATGGCATGTGTTTCAAACAGTGATGGTGTAGGTAAGAATTTAACATTTCCTAAGCAGATAAAAGAAGAGGTTATAGAAGAATTCTCTACTTCCTCTTGGAAAATGAAGTAGAGAATTCCTCTATAACCTTTTCTTTTACCAATTTAGGAAATGTTAAATTCCTACCTACACCATCACTGTTTGAAACGCATGTCATTGCCTTCTCATCATCATTGTCGCTAATGAGAACAACAATTAAATGCACACTATGCCAGGTACTGTGTCTAAGTTATTCTTGGTGGAAGTTGCATTGCATGTCTAATAAAGTCATCAACCCCTTCTACAAAATCCTCACGCAATCCTAAATTTCAATTCATATCCACAAAAGTTCAATGCATATCCTAAAGGCTCAATTCATATCCTAAAAGTTCAATTCATACACAAAAA